CTAAGCTTCCTATACTGAAGACAAGCACACACGTAATGGAGATTTCCTCCTTCTTCTTGACCCCTAGAAAGGAAGTCACCTGGAACAAATGACCAATCTGCATCAAAATAGAAGTTACTTTTCCCGGGCAAATCCCCCATTGGCTTAGTGCCAGGTATCCCTTCCAGGTCAGTCTAAACAATAGCAAACTAGGAATACAAGTTAACCCTATAATGACTGAATCAGACCTTGTAAACACATACATTTCCAACACGGGTGAGGTACGGGGGGCAGGGCACATGACGAAGCCCCGCCCCCGCTTCCGGCCGCCCTGCTTCCGGCCCTCATTCAGCCAGGAGGAGGCAGGAGAAGAGGGAGAGTAAGTTGCTTCCTCCCTGCCTCTCCCCACCCCTGCCTGCCTGGGGCCAGTGGGGGCGGGGCACATGATGAAGCCCCGCCCCCTGCTTCTGGCTGCCCCGCTTCTGGCCCTCATTCAGCCAGGAGGAGGCAGGAGAAGAGGGAGGGTAAGTTGCTTCCTCCCTGCCTCTCCCCACCCCTGCCTGCCTGGGGCCAGGGAGGGCCTTCGCGGGGCTTCCTTGCACTCCCGCCGGCCTTGCAGGTCCACCGCCGGGCCAGGACCGTTAGGGGCGGGGTGTGTGGCCTTATGACACACTTCCGGCGATGGCAGGGGGTGTGGCCTTGTGACACACTTCCGGTGATGTCAGGGGGTGTGGCATATGTTAATGAGTTATGCTAATGAGTTCCCCTAGCTCTTTTTCTACGAAACGACCCCTGCCTATTCCCCTTCAGCACCCAGCTAATAATAATTCCTCACCTAGCTGGTGCTGGCCATTCAGAGTGTTTAGTGCAGCCTGTCACCCAAAGATCCATTCCAGTGAAGATTTAACACTTCACCTCCCGGTATTCTGAGAGTATAGCATTTTTGAGCCAGTTTTAAGGGTTGTCCATTTCAGATGTTTTACTTAATTTAGAGATCTTGTGGTAGGACAGCACAAACTGGCAGAGCCAGTTTGGTATAGTGGTTAAGGGCAGTGAACTCTAATCTGGAGAACCAGGTTTGATTCCCCCCCTCTTCCATATGACGTTTGCTGGGTGACCTTGGGCCAGTCACAGTTCTCTTTCTCAGAACTCCCTCAGCCCCACCTACCTCACAGGGTGTCTGTTGTGGGGAGAGGAGGGGAAGGCAATTGTAGGCCACTCTGAGACTCCTTTGGGTAGTGAAAGGTGGGTTAATAAAAACCAACTCTTCTTTTTTCACACTGCGATCCCTGCATCTTCATTAGTCTCCAAATCATGCCATAGGGCACTGCATTCTCACTGGATGCAATGGGCAGGGCAAAGGAGTGCTGAAGAGGTCTCTTTTATTTATGACCCTGCCTAGCACCCCTTACATAGACTCCCAAAGTCCATCCCCCAGCAGAAATGGGGAGGCTGGGACTTTCCCTTATGGCAGTTTAAAAATGCCATTTCTACGGATGTCAGCAGTGTCCAGGCCTCAGGAGCAAAGCATGCATATTCTGCTGGATATGCGAATATTTAAGGGTGTCTTTACTTTCCTTAGAGGAATTTGCTTTACTGGAAAATAAATTTTTTCCAGCAGGAGATGTTACAGCCTAGCAAGCTAAAGTGCTGGTGGTTCTGGACATGGTGAAAGTGCCCCTTCAGGCATATAGGCACTATATTTATAGGGCTTTTCTTTCTGATCTTATGTTAGGGAAGGAATATGGCTTCCATGCTTCCAGGGGCAAGCAAATGAAAGCCAAACAGATCTGGGGATGATGAGCTGACCTCTGTTATGTTTATCCCGTAAAAGCACATCACACTCGGGGTCTTCATGCCCCTGGGAATTCTGCTGCTGATGCAGCTGCAAAGGAAGCAAGACAAGAATCATTTGTAGGTGTGGTGAACAGGTCAGATACCTCTTTGAATGATGATTTACGGGCATGCTTAGACCCCAGCAAGTCAAACCCCAAGGGTGATCCCCAAACTTACACCTGTGTCTTAAAGGATGGTTGGTATCAGGCAGTTAAAGAACATAAGAGAAACCATGTTGGATCAGGCCAATCCACAGATTTGTGGCACCACAACAGTGCAAAAACATGATTCCAAAGCATGGATCCTCATGAATTCATATGATTTCTACACTAAAATGAGATAAAACCAACATCATACTGTAGACCATGTCTTAGATTATAAGAAGCACTACAAAAATCATGCCCCCACGAATTCGTGGCACCACAGAACTGCAAAAACATGGTTCCAAAGCATGGATCCTCATGGATCCTTAGGGATTTTCAGTTGGATCCTTGGATTTTTTGCATTGGGTTACCCCAAACACAACATCAAATCACATAACATGTCCATGGCAACAGCTAGTACCACAAAAATCACAGATCTACGGCTTCGTGGTGAAACCATTCTGTAAAAACATGATTCCGAAGCATGGATCCTCATGGATGCTTGGGTTTTTTGTGTTGGGACACCCCAAACATACCTTTAAATCCCATATCATGTCCATGGCCACAGCCTGCACCACAGAAATCACGGTGCCACGGCTCTGTGGCAACACCATGCTGCAAAAACATGATCCTGAAGCACGGATCCTCATGGATGTTTGGGTTTTTTCTATTGGGACATCCCAAACATACCATAAAATCCTATATCATGTCCAGCAGAGCCTACCCCCACAGCCAGAAAATGGCTGGGTGGCTCCTGGAATCGCACAAGGCTTAGTTGGCAGAGCATCTGTTTTCTCACCCACAACTGGGGGCTTTTTTTAAAAAAATGTCATTGTGTGGGTAGCTGAAAGAGCCACAAAAATGATCCCACAATTAAAACCGTTACTTTGATGAGCTGAGTCCACAGATTTACAGTAAAGGCTACCAACACCACCTTTGTATGAGCCTAAATGGGCTTGGAGATCATTTACTAGGATCTTCATTTACCCAAACACCATCAATTATCCAGTTTATTCTATTTAACCTTAAAATCTTCGGGTGCACCAAAGAACTCACACAGGGGAGAAACCTTTTGAATGCTCAGAGTTTGGAAAGAGATTCAGTCGGACTTTACATCTTCAACAGCATCAGCGTACCCACACAGGGGAGAAACCTTTTGAATGTTCTGAGTGTGGAAAGGGAATCAGTGTGAGTGGCAGTCTTCAACTGCATCAAAGAACCCACACTGGAGAAAAACCTTTTGAATGTTCAGAGTGTCGAAAGAGATTCAGTAACAGTGGTAATCTTCAACTGCATCAAAGAACCCACACAGGGGAGAAACCTTTTGAATGCTTAGAGTGTGGAAAGAAATTCAGTGGGAGTGACAAACTTCATCTGCATCAAAGAACCCACACAGGGGAGAAACCTTTTGAATGCTCAGAGTGTGGAAAGAAATTCAGTCAGAGTGAAAATCTTCAGGTGCACCAAAGAACTCACACAGGGGAGAAACCTTTTGAATGCTCAGAGTGTGGGAAGAGATTCAGTCAGAGTGGTGCTCTACAATCGCATCGAAGAACCCACACAGGGGAGAAACCTTTTGAATGCTCAGAGTGTGGAAAGAAATTCAGTTGGAGTGGTGCTCTTCAGCAGCACCAAAGATCCTACACAGTTTGGATCCCATCAATGTGTATTTATAGTTAGGATTCTTTTGCCCCGATGTGCATCACTTTACACCTGGCCACACTGAACCCCATTTGCAACATTAACATCCACTTGCCCATCCTCGACAGATCCCTTTAGAGTGCCTCACAATCCTCCCTGATTCTCACCACCCCGAACAATTTAGTGTCATCTGCAAATTTAGCCACTTAACTGCTTACTCCCAACTCCAAATCATTAATAAACAAGTAAAAGCATTGGACCCAGTACAGAGAACTGCGGTACCCCACTGCTTACCACCCTCGACTGTGAAAATTGCCCATTTATACTCACTCTCTGTTTCCTATTAATTAGCCAGTTTTTGGATACGATAACAATCAAAAAATTTTTGTTCTTTCTATCTGAATACATTCTATATAGAAATTAAATGATATATTGTAATCATTATTTTGTTCCTTGCAACTTTGAATTTGTAGTGTTTAGTTGTAGTTTATAGTGGAAAAGCAATAAAAAATTCAAAAAAAATTAGCCAGTTTTTGATCCACTAGAGGACTTGTCCTCTCGTCCCATGACTGCAGAGCTTACTTTGGAGTCTCTGAGGAGGAACTTTATCAAAAGCTTTCTGGAAGTCAAGGTAAACAACATCTATTGGGTCCCCTTTGTCCACATGTTTGTTCACCCCCTCAAAGAACACTAACAGGTTAGTGAGACAAGAACTTCCCTTACAGAACCCATGCTGAGTCTGCCTCAATAGTTTTTGTTCATCAATGTGCCTGCTAATTAATAGTTACAAGAATGGGCACAGTAATAAGACCAATGAAAAAAGGAAAAAGAACTGTGACAATTTAGCGCTTGGTAATATATTCATAAATCATAATATACAATAACAGAAAATAAGTAATATATATAGTGAATGTAGACGGTGGTCTCCGGAATGGTGTGCCGTTTCGACAATGATCTTCTGAACAAGGATGTGTACATAAACTGTCTTTCAACAATTCATTTCTCTTGGTGACATATTGGAAATATACTGTTGATTCACTTCATCATAAAGCTATGCTTACAGCTATGTTCTTCAATGGGCTATAATTGCTGAATGCCTTCAACGTCAGACTGAACATAAGAACATAAGAAAAGCCAATGTTGGATCAGGCCAAAGGCCCATCCAGTTCAACACTGTCACACAGTGGCCAAAAATACCAGGTGCCATCAGGAGGTCCACCAGTGGGGCCAGGACACTAGAAGCCCTCCCACTTGCCCCCCACCCCCCAAGCACCAAGAAGACAGAGCATCACTTGCCCCAGACTGATAGTTCCTATTTATACCTTGTGGCTAATAGCCACTGATGGACCTCTGCTCCATATGCTTATCTAATTCCCTTTTGAAGCTGTCCATGCTTGTAGCCACCACCACCTCCTGTGGCAGTGAATTCCATATGTTAATCACTCTTTGGGTGAAAAATTACTTCCTTTTATCCATTCTAACCTGACCACTCAGCAATTTAATTGAGTGCCCACGAGTTCTTGTGATAATTTTTTGTCAAAGTTCTCTGGTATAAAGGTAAAGGTTCCCTTGCTCGAAAGCCAGTCGAATCCGACTCTAGGGTTGCGGTGCTCATCTCGGTTTCAAAGCCGAAGAGCCAGCGCTGTCCAAAGACATTTCCGTGGTCATGTGGCCGGCATGACTAAATACCAAGGCGCACGGAACGCTGTTACCTTCCCACCAAAGTGGTACCTATTTATCTACTTGCAATTTCTTGCTTTCGAACTGCTAGGTTGGCAGGAGCTGGAACTAGAGACAGGAGCTCACTCCGTCATGCGGCACACTCGGGTCTCGAACTGCTGAACTACCGACCTTCTACAGCCTGCAGTTCAGCATCTTAACCACTTGTATACAATTCAATAAAAACAATTCTGGTTCAAAAAGGTACTGAGATCTGCAAAACTGTCTGTATAAAAGTATGTTTATATGTTAAACTGACTGACCTGTAATTTCCCAGATCTCCTCTGGAACCCTTTTTAAAGATGGGGGTGACATTAGCCACCTTCCAGTCCTCAGAAATGGAGTCCAGTTTGGGTTCTGGTAACACCCTCACTACTGATGCTTCCCTGACGGGATGGGGTGCCCACTGAGAGGGCTTCTCAGTGCAGGGTAAATGGAATGCGCTCAGTAGAGGCCTCTGTAGCAACACTCTCGAGTTGCATGCAGTAAGATTTGCCCTTGTGTACATACAATGATAAGTTAATTAAAATGTATTTTTGATGAGCAATCTATGGAAAGTGAATGTGAAAATAACTAAATCGGTGACATTTAAAGAGACTCTGTATAAGATGTTCTACAGATGGTATTTAACACCAGACAGATTAGCTAAAACATATAAAAATATGTCAAATAATCGTTGGAAATGTAAAAAACATGTGGGTACATTTTATCATATATTTTTTTCCTTTCGATTTATTAATCGCTCAATCCTGCAGAGCTGCTGGCTCTGAGCAATTTACAGTTACACATATTCACAAGGGACTAACAATGATTCATAGGGGTAAAGGAGGACAACATATACATCTTTTAAGTCGCACACGTTTGCAGCCAACGGGGATTTTGTTCAGCTGTAGGCTTAGACGTGTTCCAGACGGCATTCGCTCGGCTTGGCTTGATGACGTCAGCTTTTTCCAGGACTGCTTCAAGTCGCAGCACCGCACTGCCACCGCCTGGCCGGATTAGCCCATCGCAGGCTTCTTGATGCCAAGGAGATCTTTCCAGGCTTACGAGCTGGACATTCCATTTCACCGGCTAACACATCCCCCCACTGGGGGGGGGTTTATACAGACAGTTTTGCAGATCTCAGTACCTTTTCGACCCTGGTTAAGACGCTGAATTGCAGGCTGTGGAAGGTCAGTAGTTCAGCAGTTCAAGACCTGAGTGCCGCATGACGGAGTGAGCTCCTGTCTCTAGTTCCAGCTCCTGCCAACCTATCAGTTCGAAAGCAAGAAATTGCAAGTAGATAAATAGGAACCACTTTGGTGGGAAGGTAACAGCGTTCCATGCGCCTTGGTGTTTAGTCATGCCGGCCACATGACCACGGAAATGTCTTTGGACAGCGCTGGCTCTTCGGCTTTGAAACGGAGATGAGCACCACAACCCTAGAGTCGGATTCGACTGGGTTTCGAGCAAGGGAACCTTTACCTTTACTATACCAGAGAACTGTGACAAAAAACAAAGATATTTTATAATTCATATAGTAACTGCAGCTAGAATCTTGTTTGCAACTTACTGGAAACTTCCATCAACACCTTCTGAACATGATCTAATAGTGAAGATTATGGAAAATGCAGAAATGGACAAATTGACCTCGATACTAAAAGGGCAAATGACAGAAGACTTTGTTGGACTATGGACTCCATTTTATAATTGGATAAGAGAGAAATATAAAGATATGAACTTTTTACTATTACAATAGTAAGAAGCTGTGACGTCCTCCTTATTGGGGAGGACTAGTTTCACTTTAAAAGTTCACTTTATTTTTCTTTACTGGGTAGATTCTGCTGCCACCAGGAAATTTTAAGGATTTCCAAACCTTTATGCTTTTACTTTGGCTCTTACTAGTTTGGTAGACCGAGTTTAAGGCTTACGAGGAACTATGTGGTCCTGAGAAGTATTTCATTCAGAGCTGGTATAAACTTAAATAAAAAGAGGATTTATTGAAATAAATACTAAATAAGAGGGTGATACAATGTAACTAGTAATGTGTAAATGATGTACAATTGCTTTGGTATCACACTCAATCTTTTCCCTCACTGGCAGGGAACTTTTCATGTAACTTTGTAACACTTGTTTATCTCAATGCCATATATGTTCACTGTTTCACTCCAGTCTGTCATGACACTCAGACTTTCCTTAATTTTACTTCTCTTAAACTTTACTTTACTTTTTCCTATACATTCAGCTTTCAGCTCTCCTTCTCTTTCTCACTGAACAACCGCAGCTGTTCACTTCTAACTGCTTCAACACAGAACTCACTAACTGAACATCAACTGTCAACATCTAACTGAAACTCTTGACTGACTCACATACTCATCCAACCAGATTCACTTCCAAAACCCCTCCCCCTCACTGTCAACCACCAATCATACCACATGGCTCCCTCAACCACTCTAGTCTATCTACCACAGCCATGCACCCAAACTTTTAAAGAGACACACACACAAAAAACCAAGGAATCGTTACAGAAGCTTTTATGAACTTTTAAACCTCAGTTTATTGGTGTATAACATGAAATGACAAGTAGAGGAAAGTTACGTGCAGAAAATCATTACTTTTGTTCTCTCACCTGCCCCTTCCCCATCCTTGTATATCTTGAAAACTTAATACATTAAAAAAAAAAAAGATTTGCCCTTTGCTCCTTCACAGATATCCTCAGGGGCAAGAGAGTGCTTGTCCAAATGGACAATGTACTAGTACACCATGTACTGTCTCAACAAGCAGGGAGGTACAGTGTCTCGAAGGCTGTATGGAAGTCATCAGTGAGGGAAGTGACTACACTGGGAGGAATTTCAGACAGATGATATAATCCAGAAGAGGAACGGTTCCCAAACGGTTTCTGGTGTCATTTCAGACAGAACCATTTTAGAACCGGTTCCCTAACAGAATATATTTGTAATTTCAGACACAAATGCTTCTGTCCCGTTTAGAAAATGGGGCTGAAGCGTTTTACCTGTCAACTGCTTCCAAGTAGTCTTCAGTTTCCTCTCCCAGTTCTGATGCGCTTTTCCCCACCGTTTTTCGCCCGCGCGGGCGATCTCCAGCTTTTTTTTGGGGGGGGAACGTTCGCTTTAGAGTGCTATAGCGCTATAACACAACAGCATTATATCAACCCCATTGGAATGCCTGGAGTGTTGTGTTATAGCACCATAGCGCTATAGCGCTCTAAAGCGAATGTTAAAAAAAAAGCTGGAGATCGCCCACGTGGGTGAAAAACGGCAGGGAAAAAGTGGTGCAGTCTGAAATGG